AGATTTGACCACACCTTAAGGAACGGCTTCATAGTTTTATTGACCCTGAACTTCTGTCCATCTCATGCATTTACATAGTAAACTCCTTATTGTAAACTATAGCTTGCTGTCTGATTAGTTCTGATGGTCTCATCTTCGTCAAGATGCATAAGAAATGCTGAAATTATAACTACAATAAACATATTGATGATCAGGAAAGGCATTCCAAAATGCATAGTCACAGCTGCACTTTGTTTGAATTGAATGTGCTTTTTCACACTAGTGTTATCTCAGATTCCTCCTTGAGTGCAATCTCATTGCAGCAGACATTTATTTAAGTTTTTAAAGTCTACCTGTCAGATGTCTGACAGCATAACAAGGTGAATGACAGCTACTAGAATAAATGTCCTGGCTAGTCTCCAGAGTGACATGGCTTGTCTGCTGTACAGGGTATACATTTTCAAACAGTATGAAATCCTCTCAGTGATTTGTTTTTCTCAAAATATAATTTCCTGATAAAATTATTAATCTTACTCCAGATTTATAAGCAGCATTATTATCTATTATTTACTCTTTTTCTATAACCTTTTGGACCCATAGGCAAGGCTAGGACTTCACTTCATTTAGTCCTAAAACAAACATATGCAACAAAGAACTTTTGATGTAAATAAAAAAACAAGAGACAACAAATATGTGGTCACCAAATACAAAATGTACAGAATTCTGGAGACTCAGCTCTCCCGCATAGAGTTGGTCTACACATATGATCAGACTGTTCATAAAGTGTTGGGGTTACAAGCAGGTCACCTTTTGATGGCATCATTAAGACACTAACTATGCAGAAAAGGGCACCCAGAAATGGATGTCTTCTTGCTTACTCCTGCATCCAGTACCTTTGTCTGCACTATCTATCTTCAGTCTCAGTTATACCGTAATTCATGAAAGAGAAAAAAAAGAGTAGCTCCATGAATACCAGAACTAAAGAATTTTGGTGTCCTATGGGTTCTTGTCACTGATTGATACTGATGTCTGGAAAGGTGCAAGCTCAGACTAAGGCTTGCATGGGCTGTTTCCCATGGAATTCAGTGTTTAATAAGGCATAAATTCCCACTGAAAATTTCCCTCACCTGGGACACTCATAAGATGCACTTGTAGGATCTCTCCTCCTTTTAAATGATTATTTCTATGTTTTACAAGAACTTCCCTATTTTAAGGCTGCCTCTCTGTCAGCTATGGTTGGACCTGGTTATCAGTTTCAGCATTATCCTAATTTCTGTAGGAAAACAGAAGAAACTTGTTTTTTCTTCTTCACATTTTTATTTTGACCAAAGATTCCTCTCCTGAAAATTCGTATCTCTCTTGCCTACAGGAATACCACAGTACAGAAGCAGCTGAGGTAGCAACAGACTCTTCTCCTTTAATACAACATCTTTTGGTGATGATGGCCTAGACTGAAGTCTTTAAACTACACAGGCTGTAGTTTCCACAGCCTCAGGACACCTCAGATTGGAGACTGATCAATGGGTGGCATGTAACGTCATACTGGATACAGCACTGCCATTTTTTTTTTTTTCCAGTTCACAGGTCATCCTGAAATCTGAGCTTGGGTGGTAGCTCTGAGGTTATTCTATTTCTCACTCTGATCCAGCCTTCTCCTAAATCATCTTGGTTTACCACTTACTTTACTAAATAGTAAAGCTGTGTTGTACCACATGCCCTTTTCACTGTCTGTTCCTACGTATAACTTCTATGTTGACATAGATCTGAAAACGACTAAAAATAAAATTGTTGTCTACTATCTTATTTATTCGCCAAGCTGAACAGCCAGTTTTGGTTTCCCATCTCTTCTTCTTTGCCTATAGAAGTTTAGAGCCCTTTCTCTGACAAAACAACACACCGCTCAGCTCCCACTGTCTGACGCAGCAGCCCTTTTAACAGGAGGCACATCTGTGACGGCTGGGGCAGGCAGTGCCTGACTTGAAATCAGTGTTGCAGTTGGCCACGTTTCAAAGGGGGCTTTTAACAGACAGTAAGGAAATTTTATATCGTTAAGAAGTATGACAGCCACTTGGAGGTGGTAGCGAGCAAAGGTTTTAATGAAACTAGCGTTCACCATCAAACCTAACTATGATAAAAAATTGAAAAGCGAGAGCTGCTGGACGCCTATGAAATGTGCTATAAAAGCAGGTGCCATAAAACTGAGACGATATAAATTTGCAGACTAATTTGATTGCTAGTGCAGATGCATAGCTGTTAATGCTCTATGGTTGATACATCAGCGGCAACTGAAACAAGTCTGGCTTATTCCATTTTCAGTAAACAGAGCATGAGGTTGGCTGTAAATGGTCTGTTTAGCAGAATAGACTGAACATATGAAAAATTATTCATTACGAACATTTACAACCCACACATGTCATTTATATCACTTGACCACTCAACATAAAAGGTTTATTGTTTTTGGCAAAATAAGCTGCAAACATCCTTAATTGGGATGCAAATTTAATGCACAGTTTAGCACTGTTGACAGCTAAAAGGCTCATACGGACATTTCCATACATTTTTCCACTTACGTTACAGATGGTGAACAGCAGATACATAGTCAAGAGCCAAAATTATTTCAAAAGTGTAGTATTCTTATTTCACGATTTTTTAAAAGTTTGTCAATATCACAAGACTGACTTTAAGATTTTCTTTTCTGGCAAAATATACAAAGTGAACAAATTAGTTTTTGTAATGAAATCAAGTATGTGAGAAATCTTGAAAAGTTACAACTGTCTAATATTTTTCAGACTAACTGCAAAACAGCTTCTATCAAATTCCTTGTACAGGTTTGATAACTCTTAGCCTCTAGTACCTGCCTACTGACAGAAGAGGTTTAAGTTACAGATCACAAAATGTTGTTGAATACTTCTATTTTCCAGTCACTGAAATGAGGTTCAACGCATGTAAATGCCTGAGACATACTGTTGGCTAACACAAGCCAGATGAGGCCTGATCTGTACCCTGCTAAATTCAGGGTAAGATTTGCATTGATTTTAATGGGAGTTTGATCAGAATTATTGGCTGTATCTGTATGTACAGAACTGTCTATGGCACTGATGCCAGCTGGCCTAGAGAGTCCTGTTAACTTTATTAGCGCTATTAAATGCTATTACCATTCAAAATAGACTGGCTGCATGAAACCTGCCTAGTAGGAATGGTTCCTTGTCTGTGCTAGCTCCTAAGCCATCCCCACGAACAGTGTTGGCTGGCCTGGGCCAAAGCTGTGCCAGGGAACATTTAACAGCACAGATGACTGAGTTTCAGTGACGCTGCTCAATTTACTAGCACAGATGTAGCCACTGTGCAAGCCACCGTGCAAGCCACTTTGCACTGGTCGAGCACAAGGCAAACCTCTCCACTCTTTTGCAGTTAATGCAATCTAATCCTACATTGATTAAATTACCTTTTGCTTTTGGTAGTATACGTAGAGGACAGCTGGGCCACTGGCTGACTCCACTGAAGTAATTTCTCTTTCATTTTTTAGATGTATTTAAATCTATATTGTAGATGTTGACAATTCTCTGTATCATACAAAATCTGTAAAAAATGCTAATTTCTCTCAGATCATAAGGCTCTGAATCTTTCTAATCATGCAATATTTCTTCCCATTTTTTAAAATCTGAAAGGCTAGGAAAGCATGCTTATGCCAAATACTATTAGTATTCTTCAATCGCTACACAAGAACACTTCAGGATTTCCATAGAGATTGCACACAAGCTTCTTTGTCCTTATCTGCATACAATTCTGAATATTCTGCATAGTGATTATAATTTTTTCATCTTTTGATCAACATAAACCAGTTTACTCCTATCTTAGTATCAAGCTATGCTTGTGCCTTGAGTTTTTAGAATGTGTGATTAAAGTATGTTGTAAAGTATGCTTAAATACACTAAAAGAAACTTGTAGAAACTTGTGGGTTAGCTGCTCTTGAACAATTCAATTTACTGTAATGATCTGCAAATAAGAAGTGGAGCTTTTCTCCATTTACACAATGTTGCCAACAAAAATACCAGGCTACTCAGAAGTGCAGAAAAAAAAGAGGTGTTACTTCATCTGGGAATAGAAACTGATCCCTTTTGATGTAAATTGCAGCTTCTTATATGAATATCACTACCTATTACACCTGTGACTATTTAACTGTCATCATCGAAAAATCACGTTAGTGAAAACACAGTTCAGCAAGTAACGTACTGGAGTCATTAATAAACCATTAGCCGTTGCTCACACAGTCATTTAGAAAGTTGCCAGTATTACCATGTTCTCATTAGTAACATTTCCCTTTGTTGTAAAGGGAAATGTTTCCTTTGTTATGTAAAGGAATATAAGACTATCAAATAAAATTGCTTCAAGTGAAATTACAGTTATAAAGATTTTTTTTTTTTTTTAACTTACTCATAGGACATACTACATAAAGCCCCTGTGCGTGACCCTGTAAGTCCGGTTTTGGGCTGGCTCCCTCCCATACGGATAAATCTGTCCTATCGTCCTTCAACACTAGGTTGAACTCTCTTTTGAGTAAACAGGCCCAGCCCATGGCCAGGATACCCTACGTACTGCAGCTCTGCCATCTCCTCAAGCTTCGACCCTTACTTTGTGAATACTGAAGGAAGTTCTAGAAACTGATTTTTCTCTTCTAAGCCAGCTTACCACTTTAAAAAGTGCATACATACCTAACATAAGCATAACATACCTGTATCCTGATTTCTGCCTTTTTACATTGCTACCATGGTATAAAGGGAAATTCATAAAAATGAGAATTCAAACGTGACTACTTTATTTATACTCAGTTTTGCTTAAAAAGTGAGAAGTACAAATCCTTGGTTTGCTTCCATTAAAATGCTACAGATTTCTGCAAAACAGAGAGCTAGGTTAGTCCCTGTTTATTACTAAATACCACAGGTTTGCACAGAAAAATACAGTGTTAATTAAATTGCCAAACCTCTTATCTGTTTGCCTATTGCATTGTACGAAGAACTTACTTTATTGACTGGAAGAATGTTTTTCACATTGAAGTAGAATCCAAAGTAAACCATGTTAAAAACTCCGTGACGGCCCAGTGTTGCAGTAAGACCTTTGTTGAGTCCTTGGAAGCCCAGACCATCAGTTTTAATGATCTGCCGAGCTTGAACAAAGCTAGATGGTTGCTACACAAGTTAAGCAAAAGAAGGAAGAGATCATCTTTACAAAAAGAAAACAATAACCATAGCATCATTTCAATCCTGTTGACAAACACAGTGTTGCCAATTCTTGTCATTTTATCTTAAGTCTCACCATATTTGTTATTTTCCCTTCCTGTGATCACGTAAAAATCATAACTTTCATTAAAAAAAAAGATTCCTCATTTTTCTGATTGCAGAAAAAAGATGAAGGCATGACTTGAATACTCTAAAAGACTAAGGATCCCTAAAGCAAAGAAAAAGATCCTAAAATCATAATTGGAAAAAAAAAATATAGAGCAACATGTGGCTTTGAATGTGTGAATTTGGCAATAGTTTTTTTATCATTGATGCTATGCCGTTAAGATTACGACAGATGAAACCCTTACACAACTAGAGTATGTAACAATTATTCTGGACAATAAGAAGATAAAAACAGCTTCTCTAGCAAAACTAATGGCACAGGAATATGCATGGTGAGGGACTGATAAAAGGGACAGAATTGGAACAAGAAATTTTGGAGCCATTATGGCTTTGGAAGCAAGTCCTTGGGAACCACAAATTAGAGCAGCAAGGGAGGCTATAAATATTTGTGTTGAAGATCAGTTCAGCAGTTTCCAGATTCAATATTAGGAATAGAGTTGAAAGGTGACAAAAGGCATATATATTGTCTGGGAACCCTTCTGGATCCTCTGAGGCTCTTCATGCTGTTAAGAATGCAAACCACTGCTTTAAAACACTGACTTTTGAAGGAGTTATTGGGTAGACAGCACTTTTTAAAACCAGATCACATGTTAAACTTTCTTCTTCTAGTATTGAAAATCTTGAAAAGAAGGTGGGTTTGGTTTTTGTTTGTTTGTTTTTTTCTTAAGCATGCAACTGAAATCCTGTTTTGCCCTCCTAATGAATTATTTGACTGAAAAAGTGTAGTTAGATTTTGAAAATCAGAACACCCATTTAAATTCCAAGGTACAGATTTAGGAAGTTGACTTTAGAAATCCTGTTTTGAAAATAATGCCCAAAAGTCATAGAAATCATTTTAGTCAGCCAACTTTCATTTAACCAAAAGCAGAAAGGAAGAAAATTCCTCAGAATCCACTTATATAATGATCAGTTCCTCAGACAGGATCTGCCTGACTACATACACATTTAATCTATTTTCCAAAATACTTTGATACTCAGAATCAGGTGTTCCCCTTCTGAACATTTTAGATTTCTTTTTAGCAGAATTATAAAAAAGGTCCTTTCAAAAAGTTGTTGACTTGAATTTGGCTTTCTCCAAAGCATAAAGCCAGCTCTGGGTAACCAAATATTTAATTAGAAAGGCAAAACATGACTTCCACTAGGAGGCTCAAACATGAAAATATAGAAGAATTTTGACTACAACGCTGTGAACACTGCTAATTTCAATACCCTATTTGTTTAATAGCTTTCTGTTTCAAAATATCTGTGGTAGATCAACAGCATTAGCCAAAGGTTGCCTATCATATCTGACACAGCATACGACTGCTTATTTAGGTGACTGACAAGTTTAGTCTTTAATACTAAGTTACATTCTGTTTTTTCATATTTGGTAATGAATATTACCCTGTTAATGCTCTGCATACATTTTACTACAGTTTACTTTTCTAACTACCCCCAGGGATTCAGATCAGAATCTATTCTAACATGTAGATACCCAACATGGAATATGGTCCAGATACTAGCAATAACATCCTTTCTCATGCACAAAAAATGAGGATTAGTTCTTTAAAAAATAATTAGTGGTCCTGAATAAAGTCATTTAAGCTGAACACAGAAACTTTCAATAGTAAGGTATCCCTTTGGTCTCATCTTGAATACAGATTTACTAATGACTCAGAGGGGAAGCCTACCACTTGCTGAACACCTGAGATGGGATTCATCAGTCCAAGTGTAGATACCTGCAATGTCTACATCTGAGCTACTCAAAAAGATTCCCTTTTTCAGTCCTGTAGCAATAAAGAGGGCTTTCCTAGACAGCAGTTCACTTTGTCCAAAGTAGGCATCTAAAAGCCAGCTGATCAAGCCATAGAAGGTCTGTGTTTCATCACTGATGATGGAAGGACCTTAGGATGACTAATTCAGATGGAGGAATTTATTGTATAAACATCTGGAGTTTAATTCACTTCACACAATTGTTGACTTATACTTAACAGAGACCTAGTTAGTGGAATCTGGAGTCAGATTCTTCTCATCATAAAGCAGAAACTTGTATTTGTTTAATTAATCACAATTCTTAAGTCAGGTGAGAAGATTTTATTACCACACAAGTTTCTACAGCCAGTGAGTTACCCATGGCTACAGGGAAAAGAAAAAAAAAAAAAAGAAAACAAAACAACAAGGTGCTGGCCCTTATAGCAGTTTACCTTTACAAAAAGTCACCGTTATTTTTACCTGTAGCAATCCACATTACAAAAGTGCCGATATGTGATTTATAGTGGCCTTCCTCTTTAAACCTATCAGCCCTAGAAAGATGAGCTGGTACCACAGAATAATTCAGCTGTCACATAGTGTGTGAATATTTGCTTTGGGGGTGTGCAGCAGTCTGGGTGTGGGTGTACGTTTTCAAGCTCTTCCTTGTTCCTTTTAAACAAGATATATTTATTATTTCAATACAATAGTCAAAGAAATATGTGAACTGCATTAGGTTTCATCATGTAGTATGAAAGCTACACAATAGGATAGGTACATACTTTACTTAAACCTTTTAAAAAAACAGTGCATGGTAATGAAATGAGTGTACCACTGCCTTACGCTGTATAATATAACATGCACATGCTTCTCCCAATAGGCTTGAGTTTACAGGCTTTAGTGTGGAATGTTCTTTAACATATTATTAATGAGAACTTGAGATCATGGTAATGAAGTCACTGGAGTTTTCCTGATTTACAGCAAAATGTGAAATTTTAACACTTTTTTTAAAAGATATATTAAAAATTGATATGTCTGTGATTTAACTACCTTTGTGATTTAAGAACTTCAGTTCCTTGGATTTTTTCATTAGGGCAAATAGACACTTTTATTTATATTTTAGGTGTAAACTAGGTTCCTAGTGGAGTCCCAATAGCGTTCTTTTACAATTTTATTTGTATGATAATATACTATTGTTTGGATTTTGTGAAAATTTGCATTTAAATTAAATTCAAAGAAAATTCACCTAAATCAAAACAACTCAGAATGCTTTTGAATAGCTACACTGTGATTATTGGAGTATTCTGAAGGTCACCAAGGAAGACATGCTGTAATTAAAGTAAGTAATTGCATAAAATTTACTAACTAAAACACCCCAGACTTTGTTATAAAGTTTGCAATAGAGAAAAAAAATTAAAATGTATGAAGCGAAAGGATATCTTGGTCTCTTGCAACTTTACAGGAACTAGTTTGCTCAAAATATAATACTGGTGTATTTACACTCAAACCCAGAGGTTTTATTAAGATAGGTATCTTCAAAACTGTGAGGCAGAAAGATAGAATATCTGCTTAGTCCATAATTTTTTTATATCACCTTCCTGAGAGAGATCCTCTCACACATTGCTTTCTCCCACTTTCAGTCTCTCTCCTTCCAGGATCCTAACCTTTTTACTCCTGTACTGCATTAGCTCTCTGTTTCAGTGGCTTTGCTGCCCGTGGTTAAAATAAAGTCTAGGCTGGAGACTTGGAGCAACCAAACATCTCTTTCGCATGCACTGAGAATCAAACAGAAATTTACCAAATGTTTTAAAATTTATTCTGAAAGAGAATGCTTCTCTGGATGAGTTACGGAGTAGGTACCAGCTAGTAGGTACCAGCTAGAGTTATGACATTTGGAAATCAGTGGCAGTATTTTGCCAGAGTGTACCTGAGGAGCTTGGCCCAAACAGCTTATGTAAATGACCAGGTGATAAATCTCTTTAAACCCTTTTAAAAAGGGTTCAGTTTGTGCAGATGAGTGCTACAAGGCATGCAAGTATTAACTCAGTGAAAACTTAATAGTAGAATATGCAAAAATCATGCCTCACCAGAGATTCAGCCAACCTTTTCATGTCATGCTTATGTGATTTGGCACTTAGAATCATAGAATCATAGAACCATTA